TTAGATAGATAGATAGATAGATAGATAGATAGATAGATAGATAGATAGATAGATAGATAGATATTGAAACAACTTTACATACATAGATCGATAGACAGACACTGAAATACCTTTAGATAGATAGATAGATAGATAGATAGATAGATAGATAGATAGATAGATAGATAGATAGATATTGAATTAACCTTATGAATAGGCATATAAATAGATTTATAAAGTTTGTTTAATATTTATAAATATATATCAATAAGAAATATTATTTACATCTCCGAGCAAATATTTCTTTTGGGTACAAGTGAAATCTCTCGGCTATTTCTATCATTACACTATATCTGTCCGTCTATATATGTGTGTCCTTGTATGTCTGTCTTGTGTCTGTTTGAGTGGAATGAGCAGTTCATATCTCCGTTTGTAAATATATCGTCCTTAAGCGACTATATTTTATGCAAATCTCTATGTGTATAAATGTTCGTCCAATATGTTTCTTTGCGAATAAATCCAAGTCTGTTAATCTCAAAGAACAAAATCACTTCACGGCTGATACGATATTCTGTATATATTTATCTACTGAAATTTATGTTATGTGTTTCTCTTGGACTCCTATGTGTGGGTGTTAGCGCGTTCATATGTGTGGGATGTGCTTCTGCCAACATGGATGCTGAGTTTTGTTTATTCAACAATAATCGATAGCAGCGTTTAATTCTAAACGTTTCTTTCGAAATAACCAAATTTGAGATAGTTACGCCAATCAATGTCTATTCACTTTTCTTTTCTCTCGGGCGACAGTAGTGAGGCAACGATCAAAGATCGAACCCTTGGCACGAGTTGGATGGTCTCCGAAACACGCTTTACTGACTATCGTGTAAACGGTGGGGGCTCTCGCCTTCAAATTCCGTTTTAATATAGTTTTTAATCACTTAAGTCTGCTTTTATATTTAAATTCTAAAACAAAATAGCTCTCTTGTTATAGGATTTTAAAAAAGCGGCCTTGTTGCTTTATTTTATTCTATGAATTATCAGCGGGAAAATAAATTCAGTTTTTCTTTTTTTTTTAATTTCACTTGCTTAGAAGGCGAACAAGCACGCGTACACCATTCGTCTCTATATGATGTTGTATATGATTGATGCTTCCTTGAAAACAGTTTGTATTTTGCGTTCAGCTGCCTGCGTCCTAAAAATATGTTTACTACGAACCGATTCCAGATATCTGTGCTTGGAATATTCCATCTACTTTTAATGCTGACAGTTTTACCAAAGGATAATTAAAAGTAAAACAAAAACCCTAATGATGCTGTTGCGTCTATCTATATATATATATATATATATATATATATATATATATATATATATACATACAGTAACCCGGATATAAGAGAGTTGTCGGAACCGGAGAAGAAGTCTCTTATATCCGGGTTTCTCTTATATCTGGGTTTGGTCTATTTATATACATTAACACAGGCTCTAATTTGGGACCAGAAAATCTCTCTTATATCCGGGTCTCTTATCTCTTATGTATATATATATGTATTATATATATATATATATATATATATATATATATATATATATATATATATATATATATATATATATATATATATAATACATACATATATATATGTATGTATTATGCTATATATATATATATGTCATGTATCTACACAGAAACGTGATACCTAGAGTTTAAAATGAATCTTCAAAATTGAAAAATATTTCTTGAAGCTTTTATTTTTAGTTTCAATCTCAAACTGATAGATTAAATTGAATATTTCCAAAAATCAAAATACTTTGCTGTATTTCAATATATATACATATAAGACAATATGGAAAGCTATATATTTTTTATGTGTATTGTCGATTCATTTTCTTTAAACAATCTCTACACTGTCCAGATAAAACTTGATTTAAGTTAAATATATGAACACTTAATTCGTTCTGTTGTCTTATAAGAGTAAAAACGTTGTCTATCAAATAACATATACCACCTCTAGCTGTGTTAAAGTCGCGTGCAAATGTACCATCTATTATGAGACAGAGGTGGTATAATTTTAATAAATGTATTCTATAATAAATTATAGAATACATTTAGGAAAAAGTGAACTTAACTTTATATTAATAAAATAATTCTATATACGTTAATTTATAACGAATATTATTATTATCATCATTATTAAGCAATTATTATTTTTAATCCAAATCTGTTGCTTACACGTTGTAGTTAGTGGCTATATGTATTTGAGTATACATGCTAGTTTTTTTCGGGGGTTTTTTAACAGCGAAATTAATGTCCACCGGCCTACACATCGAAAGTCTTAATAAAGGAGATGTGCCAACGGACTTTTTACGCATTGGATCTGTCGAGTGCATACTTACGTTATTAAGACATTCGATGACGAGGCTAGCAGACATTGTTTAAAAAAATAGCTACTCAAATATATGTACCCACTAAATATAACGTTTCTAATAATAATCATATAATATATATATATATATATATATATATATATATATATATATATATTTCTAAAGAATTAATGTATTTATTTTTAATCCGACATTTTTATTATAACATCTGAAGTAGTAGTAGTAGTAGTAATAATAATAATAACAATAATATATATATATATATATATATATATATATATATATTCTGTTTAGACGTTATTTTGTTATCGGAAGAGTCTATTTCATAATATTTATAATGTATATACTATACACACACACACGTGCCCACACATACACACACACACACACACACACACACACATATACACACACATATATATATATATATATATATATATATATATATATATTACAATATAATAATATATATATATATATATATATATATATATATATATATATATATATATATATATATATATATATATGGGCAGCAATTTTTCACAACAGGCAAAAAAGAATACTTTGTAATTTTTAAAGTAGTTGCTCTTGTAAGAAGGAAGGAATGATTAATTGATGCAATGCAAATTTTATTGATAGTCGATATTATAAATCGCATCTATTTTTACCATAAATATAAATAACATATATATATATATATATATATATATATATATATATATATATATATATATATATATATATTATATATATATATATATATTGTATTTTTGAAGATATCTTCTTAGAAATGTATATAAATTTTTACACATATGTATTTATGTATGTATGTATGTATGAACAAATTTAAATACTATTAATACTTTATAAGTATTAATTATATGCGTGTTTGACGAATGTATACAGGGACAATCTGTGAGTCCATAGAATATACAACTTTAAGAGCTTAAATCTTAAATATAGGTTTTTGCTTTCTTGAATAAATAGTTCATGAGATTGTTGTTGTTGTTTATATTAATAATAATAATAATAATAATAATACCGGCCGCAAGTTAATAGACTCGAGATTATTCTGAAAGACTTTAAAAACGTTTATCTAATAGACATGATCGTAAAAACATTATAAATAAAAGAGATAAATTCTCCAAATATAAGAATCTAGAATTCGAAATGTGACATTATTTTAAACACAATCATTATTCTAGTAGTTATGGGAGCACTAGGATTCCTTAAGAGTACGAATACTGGTGCATACATTAATAAAATCCCTTTAAATCGATCTGTATCTGAAATGCAAAGGATGATTTTGATGATTGATGCACGTAATCTTAGAAAAACTCTTTCAATTCAACATGCTCAACAAATTCGTTTGAAAAACCTTAATTTACTTTAGGCATCAAATGAAAGACTTGATAAACGATTGCAGCAAACAGTAAATCACAACAAATAAATAATAATAAAAAATAAGGATTTTGTTCAACAAATTATTAATTTGAATAATGAAAAAAAAATGGTAAATTACTAATAATAATAATTATTATTACAATAATAATTATTATTATTGTTATCGTAAAAGCAATAACAATACTTGACATTAACAGGAATACCACATTAACGGAATGTATCGAATCGAACAAGAAATATAAAATCGAAAAAAGTTATTACATATTGTTTCTTTGTTCATTTTGTTTTCTTTTCCCAAGTTGGGCCATTTTTCCTATATTTTTTTCTTTTTTTTTTTGGCGTGTGGGGCTAAGGGGAAAGATGAGGGAGCTTAACTTTTCAAGATATTTTTTTAAATCGGTTGTCGAACAAACCATCGGACGATATTACCTTTAAAAATCAATGTCTCATTAGTGGCTCCCCCTTTTAAGGGTTTGTGTGAAACCATCGGGTAAATATCCTTAAGCGTTTCACATGGAATGGATTTGCGCATGAACATGGAAACGAACCTCTCCATGCGATGGTCGTAAGTGTTGGACTTGCATTCGGTCATGGAGTATCGCCCGCCCAAAAATCGAGCCGTGTCTCTGGGAGCCGGCAGCATAGAATCCATAAACGGACGGTTATAGAGAGGGAAAACGTCTTCTTTGGGAAAAGTGTAAGATGACTTAAAAGCAGGGTCCGAGTCCCAGATATGAGTTTGATTCTCACCAAAGAAGCTTATATCCAGGTAGGGCCATGACCAGGAAATACCGGGGATCGGTCGCGATAAAGTAGAGAAAAATTTCCAACGTTTGCCTTGTTTATCGTTCAGTAAGTAATTCGGCAAACGACTTGAAAGGACTCTTCTGATTATTGGTTTGTCGCTAATATTCATCATGACGTCCATATCGTCGTCCCACGGTATAATTCCATGGTGCCGGTAGGATCCAAGTAAAGTTCCGCTGTATAAAAAGTACGTGAGATTGTGAGCGGTTACTAGTTCTACAAACCTATACAATATATCTGTAAATGCCCTTAACTCCTTAGCATCCATGCGTGTATTGAAAAATTCCAACGTGCGCGATGAGGCGTAGCTCTTTTTATCGTCTGCTTTCTTTGAATTTCTACTCATGCTTTTTATATCACTACTGCGGCCAACCGAAAAGGCGCCGTTGCCTTGTCTGTTGAGAAAGATTGTCTGCTTCCACGATAATAAGTTGTTTTCGTGTATTTTTTGTTGCATGCCTTTCGCCGTTGTTGCTATCGCTGACCCGGTTGAAATTAGTTGGTTTTTAAGAGTGGTCCGAATAGATTTTCGTCTTTTCCTGACCTTACTAGTTTCTGCTTTCGTTCGAGCCCTTGATTCGCTCTCTTCGGTCGCATTTTCTCCTCTGCTCATCTCCGGCGGTCTTTGTATACGCAAAAAAAGTTCCATCTTCTGGTTATCGCTAAGGTCATCGCTGAACGACAGAGGGGTCACGTCCCCGTGGAATGGAGTAACGGCTTGAATAGAGGGAAATGTTGCCCGAATATTTGGTAGGTAAGAAAGAGGGCCTTGCGATGCACCTTGTCGCAGACGACTACTCAGTCTTCGACGGTTGCTGACGTGAGTCAAATTCTCAAACAAAGTCCATCCAAAATAAAGACTGATCGCGTTTAAAAAAACAATTACACAGAAATATGTCCAACATCTTTTCCCTGGAATAAAAATGGTTCGCATACTGACAGCCCTGTGGCTATATGCAAACTTCCCGATGGAACGCTATCAATTGTGTCTCTGGCCAGAGGTAAAGGAACCTCTCACCTGACACTTTCACCTGTATTGTGTAATATACTGTCCCGTTTACGTCAGGCGAACATGTGCGTGTACGTCGATGTCTCTCTCTCTCTCTCTCTCTCTCTCTCTCTCTCTCTCTTGCGACTACATTAAATGACAAATATTGTAATGCTATAATTACATGAACAGTGAAAATACTATGCCGTCAGATTAACTTTGAATATAAAATTTACCGTCGGCAAGCCATATTCGTACGAATTGGCATTTGAACGCAAGAATTTAATTTCTTTAAGTTCAGCCCTTCCATTTTTTTTTCTTTTTTAATGTTTCTGTTGGTTTTCTTTAGAAAATTTCAAATATATCTCTTGTATTTATTTTTTTGACGGTCTCCTCTACCAAATGTATCTATGTGCGTTTCCCCCCGTGTTGCATGCGCCTGGAGGTGGTACAGTGATTGCTTTGTAAGTAGCAAGATTCAAGAGCAGTCGTTGTAGTAGCTGCTATACTTTTCACTGGGGCGCTGCTGATGGTGATGCTGGTGTCACAACTACTACTGTCGTATACCAATGGTGGAAATGCTATAATAGTAGTACGAGCAGTGGCAATGGCATGAGTTGTGTGCCACTAGTCGTCAAAGCGATGGTACTCTATGTCTGAGCAACACGAGGCTCACCTCGTTACTTCGTGCCTCGTTGAACAACTTGCACGCGTCTTTATTCTTCGAAGGAGAGTTCTTCATGTCTTATGCTTTGCCGTAAATAGGAGCGTACATAAAGCCTGTTCGTTTCAGTGTGTGCATTCACACGCACAGAGTCGCAAAACGGTCACTGGAATGTGTACAGCTACATGAAATGAAGGATAAAGAGAATGCCTAATTGGGATGATAATTATTTTTATTATTATTATTGTTGTTGTTGTTGTTGTTGTTGTTGTTGTTGATGATGAGGTTGATGATGACGATGATGATGATGGTGTGGCAGTGACGATGATGGTGCTGTCTTTGAATTTAAAAGATCTATTTTTTTTTATAGAAAAATACGTCGCGATGAGGATGCAAACAAGAGATGAAATTTTTTTTCTTTTTTTTTTTCTTGGTCTTTATCTTTCTTTGCTTCTTTTTTTCTTTTTCTTTCTTTTTTTAATTCCTTTCGATTGTTCCCCTTTGTTCTCTTCCCTCTTTCTTTCTTTTCTTTTCTTCCTTACTTTCCAATTCTGTTATCCCTGTTCCTTTATTTTGTCTTTTCCGTTTTCTCCATATTTTTTTTCTTTTCATTACTTTCTTCCGTTCCTTTCTTCTTGTTTTCCTTTTTCTTTCTTTTTTTCACCCCCCACGTCTTTTTGGTTACTTCTTTCTCTCTTTATTCCTTTCCTTATTACTGCCGTTCTTTCTTTCTTTCTTTCTTTTTTTCTTCTGTCAACTTTCTGTCTTCATCACACGCCGTTTGTCTTCCTTCTTTCACACACTCCTGACCACGTTTTGTACGTCAATGTTTTTCATTCGTTTTTCCGTCTTTCTTTCCACTCACCAGTGCTGTGTATGTTCCTTCACGGGTTGCTACCCGTTTTTCAATAGCATTTTACAACATTCTTTCTTCTCGTGAGCAGCTTTCTCAATAACTTCGTCTTATTTGAAAATAACATCCTCCCCGAAAACTACAACAACGACTGCGAATGCATGTTGGCTCTTTACTGCAGTAGGCCAGGTTAAAGGTTACTAAATAAATGTCGCAAGCGTTAGTATATATAAGTACACGGAAATGTGTTGCTGTGTCTGTGTGTGCGTTCATTCAAAAGGAGAGAAAGAAGAGACAAAAGAGAGAGAGAGATGGGAAGAGCTAGAAAAAGAGAGAAAGAAATGCGTTAAGAAGACAAACGGATGTAGTCAGGAACAATTACACGTGCTCTTTTTTTTTTGCTTTTTAACTTACAGATTGAATTGACTGCAGAGATTTTTTTTTCCTTTTTTGTAATGTAAAATGTCACAATTAAATGTACTATTATTATATCTCCGTCCTATAATAATAATAATCCTGCAATTCGCAACACATTTCATACAAAACGAAATTGTAGCAACTATTATGCGACAGAGGTTGTAATATTTATTTAGCATCGAGGGCGTTTCTACGCCTGTCCATTTGTTGCAGTATCGGCATAGGTTAAAAATCAAAAAAAGAATGAATTTCATCAAGAGAAAAAAAAGAAACGTGATAGCTATTTTTTCTCACTGTCTCTCTCTTTCTCCCTTTCTCCTTCTCTCCTTCTCATTCTCTCTCTCTCTCTCTCTCTATATATATATATATATATATATATATGGTAGTTACCAACCGTATCTGAGTACGGCCATTACTACATATTTTTTGGGGAATATCTACTGATGATATATATATATATATATATATATATATATATATATATATATATATATATATATATGGTTCGATTGATGAGTTTGTGACCCCAGGTTTCACGCTTTTGCGATCGTCGCAAACTCACATCAATTCAACCAAATATGTAAGTTCCATCTCTGATATTGAGAGCTTTCTAATTACCGCGCATATAATATATAAATAATAATATAATATATTGCACACACACACACATATATATATGTATATATATATATATATTTATATACACACACTTTTTACACACACACACATATATATATATATATATATATATATATATATATATATATATATATATATATATATATATATTATAGGTTATTACATACGGACAAATAAACACTACAAAGATGCATATTTGTTTCAATGCCTAAAGGTAACCATAAAAACAGGAGAGGAACAAAGATGGTTGAATTTATATTCTTTTCGTTCTCATTACATATATGTGTGTGTGTGTGTGTGTGTGTGTGTGTGTGTGTGTGAAAAGTGTATATAAATATAAATAAAATATATATATGTATAATTATTTATATATTATATGCGTGGTACTTATTAGAAAGGCTCAATATCAGAGATAGAGTTAAAATATTTGGTTGGATAGATGTGAGTTTGTGACCCTGGGTTTAAAGCGTGAAACCCAGAGTCACAAACCACATCTATCCAAATATATATATATATATATATATATATATATATATATATATATATATATATACTTTTTATTTTAGGATAACTACATCAACATGAGAATAAACGCTACATAAATGTAATCATGTTTCGATGTGTACTGACACATCTCATCGGGCTTTAGTAACCAGTCTTTTACTAACACCTGATGAGATGTATTGATACACATCGAAACATGATTGCCTTTATGTAGCGTTATACTCATGTTGATGAAATTATCGTAAAATAAAGAATATAGCTCTACTTTTGTATTTAGCCCTCTTTTAAATTAATGTTATGAACGTCGAAATTTATATTCGATTCGTTCTCATTTCATATATAATTTAGCTGCATTATTTATTAATTTGAAAATATCTTCTATCTGCAGTAAAAAAATTTATGAAGTCTTCAAAGACATTGCTCTAACTATTGAACCAATAGTCTGTGTCACGTCAATGGAAAAATACTTAACAAAAATAGAAATTTTGAATTACTTCAATGTTCAAAAATCTAGCGTTGCATTTCTGTACGTTTTAATAACAATACACTTTTCAATAAAACGTCTTTCGACAAGTATCACATTCATTTTCGTCTTGGAATTTTTTACCTGAAATTACTTGAAACTGAGGAAAAAAAATAACATCTATTACTGAAGATGGTGAATGTTTTCATCGAAAGTACTTGCGATCAATATGGACCGAACATCTAATCCATTTTACAATTAATAAAAACAAGGTCGTGTCGTTCAGCGAGTGGTCAGTGAGTTAATGCCTTCTTAATCTGTTAGCGAAGTGAATTCGCCATTAATTACATTAACTTTATTGATTTATTCTTTGAATGACTATTTTACAATATATATTTACGTGTATGTGTGTGTGTAAATGTTTCAGATAACGTATATCTGTAAAAGGACAATATGAATAAAGACAAAAGTAAAACTTATAATAGACAACGCGTTTCGTCCCCTGAAGGACTTTACCAAGACAAATGTAAGGATTTTTATTTAATGAAAACTATTTAAATGCAAGAGAAAAAATGTTCCCAAGCAAAGATACATGACCATAAAAATAGTAAAAGATTACGGTTAAAAAACGTTTAAATCCATCACTTCATGTTATTCAAAATATATAACACATAAATCAATCCCAATCTAAAAATAATTTAAATACTAAGAACAATTAAAACTGAGAAGCATATGTAATACAAAGGGGAGAATAATGACGTAATCAAGACGCTGACATTCCACACTACTTTGAACAAAAGATTAGAAAGGAAAACCCCTATCAATACTGGAAAGAGCGATAACAGCCACTGGACTTGAAAAACCTATTTTCCGGAGAGATTGTTTTAAGATAACGATTTTATAAATTTCAACCAACAGCAGTACTGGATGTTCGGTCACTAAATGCTGAATGTTTCCTTGTAGGGAAACGATTGATATTACCATTACTATAGACACGCACGCACGTGCACAGATACACACACAACTATACACACACATATACATGGTGCGATGGATAAATTGTCGTCTAAATGAAGTAAAAAAAAAAAATGAAAATAACACTGACAGATATATGTTCACGGATATATTTACCAAATTTACACAAAAATATCTTGAAATACTAAAGCGTAAATTTATTCAATAAAATCACCATTAGCTTCAACAACGGCTTCAAAGAATTTCCTGCAACACTTCTGGACGGTCTCCTTGTTTAAGTTGGTGAATGCTGCCATAATACTTGTCTTCACTTCAACCTTGATGTTAGAAGGAGTTTTGTTGATTTCTCGCTCAACAGCGGCCACAAATAATAATTAAGGGGGTTGCAGTCTTCTAAGTTCGGTGACCAGATGTAAGAAGTGATGCGGTGG